TCCATCAGAATCCGGTTCCTAGATCTAAACAAGCACTATCTTAATCTAGTGTGTTGAGGCAGCAAATATCGAAATATCAAAAGACGCCGTTCGTCTTTGCACTCGCTTTCATATACATATTATAGAAATGTTTGGAAACGCGGCCATACCGAAAGAACCAATATCCAAATGACTCCAAAAAGCCGATAATCACATCCAAACGTGTTATTTCTGAGTAAACTAAGTAAATAAAAAGTGTATTTAGTTGTTTTATTAAGTAATATCCATTAGATGTGAATTTTTGTTCATAAATATCTTAATCAATGTCAGAAGCCACAAAAACAAAATATGCGCGTGTACAACAATTTGATGAAGAAAATGGCTGAAAACCTTTTTTTCTGAAGTTACATTAAAGCTTTCAACAAAAAAAGCCGATAAAGGCAGTATTTTCATCAACTTATCATTATATTAAATATTTTTTTGCGACGCAAAAAGAAGACAAAGTCAAGTTGACAGAATCTTATTAAGCCACTGATAACTAGCATGGAAGTGAACTGCAAAACGTACACCAAAAAGTCGCCCATTTTTTGCTATTCTACGTGTGAAGGACTACTAGTTTGTACTTGAGGATTATCGAAGCCAAAGGAAACAACAGATTCAGATTCTCACTAACAATTTTTTCGCATAGTGAAATAAAATCACCACTAAGTATTCCGTAAATCGTTAGTAAACAGTCTGACTAGTCAAAAAACTTCAGAAAACAATAAAAACGTTAGAAAATACTGATTTTGAAACACCTATTCTAGGTTAAAAGAGAGCGTTTTCAGTCTTACAAAAATGCTAAAACTCCGATCACATATACTTTCGATAAGATAGTGTAAATGACTCCAGTGATATATCCACTGTGGATATGCAGTCCTATATGGGTTTATCTTATTAGAAAGATCAATGTTTAGAATATTTCAACTGTGATAAAAACTCCATTCAATACAAATTTTCACAAAAGGCTTTGCTAAAGAGCGTTGCGACTGCGCGCGCAGAGAGTTCCTGGCACGAGTTCAAATAACCTTCACAAATTATCGGAAAACGATTTAATTTCTCATACTTCTAAACTACGAAAAAACATATTTATAATCCGTAAATATCAATTGATTTAGACAGAAAACTTTCCGTGAGCTACATGCAAGTAATTAGATTAAACGCGGCAAAAGGTCGACTTACGAACCGGGTCTCAAAGAGTTCTTTGTACGAGTTGAAATGACCTTCAGAAATTATCGGAAAAGGATTTTTTTTTTCTCCTACTTTTAAACTACAACACACCATACTTTATAGGTTAATAATTATTTTGAACGCCTATGTTCACAATGTGAAATTAAGGATGCACCTGGACCAATCAGAAAGCTAAAAGGATCAGCGAATCATGAACATATTTCCATGTACTATAATCACTATATACAGACATAAAAAAAAAAGAAAATGTTAACAAAAAATTCCTAAACTAAGCTCATGTGTTTAGCGACTTTAACATCCTGACTATCTGTTTCACGGATTTGCTGACTTAAAGACTGTTTCACGGGTTTACTGACTTAACGAATGTCTGATTATGCGACATAAACCTACTAACAGTCTAAGAATACAGTTATGTTGTCATTTAACGTTTAACACTTTGACTTCAGAGCGAGGACATTATATGAAATTCGTTTTCAAAAAACCAAAGACAGTGTGATTCAACTATTTGAAAAAAAAAATGAAATAATCAAGAGTAATAYAATGGATTTCATGGGTTTAAGAAGATCACTTTGAACCGGCGTCAACAAAACAGCGATAAATAAATAGGCATAAAAGATCTATAATGGAATTAGAGCGTAGTTAGGAGTATTGTTGTATATATCTGTTTCATGGGTTTATGGGGAATAACACTTCAAAACCGTGAAACAAAATCTTACTATGAATGCGTGATCTGAATCAAATAAGCCACAAAAGGAAACGACATCTATTTCACTGGTTTTTGCCTTAACTCTACTAAATTTTATTTTCCGTCCAAAAGCTAATTTTCCCTTCAAAGTATGGAAAAAATCGCTATCTCTAAACGACCAGCCATTATTGAATTAGTTAGCTCAATTATGTCACTCAAGCCATCATTAATCTCAATAATGTCAAAAAACTCCAACCTTCTTGTTTCATTAGCCACAAATTTCTATCATACTAAGGTAATTAGTTCTTGAAATTTGACAGATCATCAAGAACTTGGGAAAACTGCTTGGGATTTTCCCCTGGACGTAAATTACAAGAAAGTGACACTGACTTAAGATAAATTATTCATCGTCAACTACATTTTAGAAATCTCGGTTTCGAGGCATAGTGTAGTATCTAATTTTGTTTTGTTTTTATTTCAGTGCAGGAAAGTGATTCTCAAAAACGCGTGAAACAGAATGTAATACTCAAGATAAGATGACTGAAAAACGTGAAAAAATAAAGAGTACTAAAGTATAGTATGCTAGAGTGTATTTCATGGGTTTATGGTTCTTTCGCATATCCGTGAAACAAAGTACGACGACCAAGACCGAAATGACAAAGGCAAAACGTCAAAAAATAAAGAACACTAAAGTATAGTACGCTAAAGTGTAGTTCACGGGCTTGAGGTGCTTTCCCAAACCCGTGAAACAAAGTACGATGACCAAATGTAATACAGTGAGAGAGAAAAAACGGGGAAAACGTGTAAAAACGCTACAGTGCACTGTAATACGAAAATTTGTTCAGCTAGAGAAGATTAGATCAAAATGTAGTGTTACGCACAACTTGCCGCAGGTTTCATGGGACAGTATTCCGGTGAAAAGTATTCCTATCAAAACATAGACCATGTTAAAGTTATAACCATTATTTAAAAGCAATGTTTTAGTAAAAAATCGTTATCACTACTGCCAAGAACGGCATAAAATTAGTAAATCTTCCGAGTTTGGGAATAATCTCACGGTTGAAATTACAAAAAAAAAAGAGGCAGAGCTTCAAAATCACCAATTTTAAGAGAAAAATATTAAAAAGGCTGCTACAGTATGCCTGAAGAATGATTTCTTAATAAGTTTGCGAGGTTATATCTCCCGGCTAAAACTTGTTTTCAGCCGACAACCCCCACCTCAACYTGAGTCGTGATGGCGGTTTTTGTTTTTCKCTAAAAGCCGAGTTTGATTCCGAAACACGGGCATAACCGTGTAAAATGGATTATTCCTACACTAATCATATGTAAACATAACACGATAAGGGTATAAAGATAAGTGAATACCAAATGGAATCATAAATGGATAATTAATCCACCATAAAAGAGTTAAAAACTTCCTAGAATCTCGGACGTAGAGTCCTTCATTAGAGAGAAAAGAAAAAAAAAAACAAGACGAAAAAACTTCCGTAAGTTTCCCATCATTTTGCGACAAACAATTTATCGTATTATCACAAATGTGTCGTTAAAAACACCGACGCTGCATATACTAGTATAAAGGCTGGTTATCGTATATAAAATTGTATGATAAAAAGGATCAAATGACACCAAAGAAGTAAAACAAGCCCAGTGTTCGTATTAATTAAGCGTATTGTTAGCCCCAATTGTACTGACACACGGAGGGCGGTTTGGTTTTGTTTATGACCAAGTGGTTGGCACTGCTAATTGCCATAAATCACAGTCCGTTTTGTTCAGCGTCAATAGCGTTTACGCTGCTCAGCAGTAAAACGGTCGCGTACTTCCGTTGCTGTGTTCAGATGAACAAAGACAGGTGCCATGGGTTGAAGTCAGGTGTTGCGCCGAAAATACAAGCTACTGTTGATAACTACATGCGGAAAAAAAAACGCGGCTAAAATGAGGAAGAGTTATTTTTAGGTACCATTATGAAGTAGAATTTCAAACCTGGAACAAAAAGTTTCGGTCGTCTCTCAAAAAGTATAACAAAAAAAGAATAACGATTGTGATGTGAAAATACAAGCTATACTGCCGATAACTACACAGGAAAAAAACCCGGCTAAAATGAGGAATAGTTATTTTTAGGTACCATTAAGTAGAATTTTAAACTTGGAACAAAAAGGTTTCGATCGTCTCTCAAAAAGTATAACACAAAAAAAGTATAAGAGATTTTGATGCGTGTTGGGCTACATTCGTAGTTTTTTCTATAACAAATTAGCCGAAGTATATATGGTGAAATATTGTTTGATTTTGAATACTTCAAGCTGTAGCTACAAGCAACTTTTCATAACCACTTTCTAAAAGCCAATAAATGAACTGAATGGTTATTTTCTAAAGATTGTATAGGAAGATCTTCCTAGGTTATACTTCTTTTTCTAAATAAGTGTGATTTTTCAGTGATGTAAAGCTTTATGCAGTCAACTCTTAGAAAACGAATCACCTCGGAGTGAAAATCTACGGCGGTGGTAYGTCAAAAACTGAAAAAGGAAATTGTTCAATKTTTAAGGCTGATTTTAACTGTCGCTATAGCATACCCCCCGCACGGTATCAAGAACAAGTGTGTACCATTGTATAACGACTTTTTACAACATAATCAAGTCAACCCCTCATTGCCGAACTTTACAAAATTTTGTTTACTTGTTTAAGTACTGTCGCATTGTATTAAACTTGTACAACCAGTTTGACAAAACTCCACAATCAAACCAATCTTGTAGAATTTACACCGGCAGTCGACTATCAGTTATTTCTTGATAACATCGCTTAAAACAAACCTAGCATCACAATGGGGATTTGTTTTGCATTAATTATACACACGTACACAGTKRATCTTTATGTGGAACAATGATTGAACCCAGAGGAACACCCGTGTTGATCTTAAAACATAATTGGACTTTTATTCATCGAGTAGCTCCCTGGTGCGGCTTGTGTTGAAGACTTGATTTGTGCTAATCCTGGGTGTTAACTCTTTAAAAAATCTTATGGATTAACCGTGCTAATCGGGCCTTCAATAACCCGGTCCTGATCTCCGTCCTAAATCCTACTAAAAATGTGTAAATATTGTTGGCTTTCATAGATAACCCGGACCCATATTTCAAATCTTTACTTGGCAGGCTATGGTCTTATGAAAACAAACCAACTTAGGAACAGGAGAGCCGAGGTATTTGCAAACTATATGCTTAGATGTATTCCCTTCAGATACCGAATGGCCGTTGAAAAGTGTCCGTAATATAGAGGTGCTCGTTACATAGAAATCGAGTGATCAAATGAACTTTGGTACATGCACAGTAATGAAAAAACAATAATTTGACGTTTCGGACGTGGGTCCCTGGTCGCTCTTCTTGGAGCAGAAGAGGAAGGACATAGAAAGGACCGAGGTCGAAACATCGAATTGTTTTTGCCTTTTGACGATACATGTTTATCATTTTATAATAACTGTTTCATAGGCAACACCGCGACGAAGCTCCGATGTAACACCGAGTCAACTCCGATGTAGGGCCGACGCAGCTCCGATGTTACAACGAAGCAGCTATTGGGCACGTCACAGTTTACGAGACGAATCTAACGATTAAAATAGAGAGAAAACACTTTGACAATTGTGTTAAGCTATGGTAATTCCTTTGTTTTCTACAGTCTAATCTTCACTATATTGCGCTGTTTAGCATTATTTGGTTAGTTCTTTTTCACGCTTTTAGTGTTTTTTATCAACTTTACACTTAGTACACTTTGTTTTTCACGGTTTCATGAAGACATTCACTGTTTCACGCCCCACCTCTGACATCATAGTCTATGTTTTCCTTTAGTTGCATTTAAAGTTTAATACGAAAACATTCTGTCATCCCTCTCGCCCTAAACTAGACAGGTATCTATAAAACCTATTGAAGCTAGTGTTTAACGACGAAAGATTACTCTATTATGCTTRATTTGTGTGATTTACACCCTAATAAAGCACTGGCAACCACTTAAAGGCAATCACATATATCTCTACTAWGCGTAAACTCAGCGCTAAAACTCAGTCAAAACCCMTGCCTYTTATGGCATATTGCGGTATAAAAGTTTTAGTATTTTGAATAAAAATGGGGCATAAATAGAAACGAAGGAACTTGAATAAAAAATTTTATTTTCCGTGTATACGTTGATTGATCATTTCATTAATAATATCGATTAATCATCACACGTCTGCTATAAATTCATCATTGGCTAATGCGTCTTCAATCATTTTTGGAGCAGTTAGAGATTTAATGGACGCTTGCTTGTACGTATTGACAAACAACGATACAGATCGTTCGTTTTTCATTACTGATTCGCCGGGATTATTATTTATTATTATTACTATTATCATTAGGGTGATTGTAGAGAGTTTTTCATGGTTTTGAATAGTGTAGAACTAAGAATAACCAAAGTTTAGTAATATGTATACAATCGGGTCACTATCAGAAAAAAAGCCGGGCGGATCACATATTTTGGGATCAGGGATCAAAATAATACTCAGCTTTGGGATCAGAAATAAAAAAGTTTTGATCTATGGAWATCRTATTTTGSATCGGATTACTACTTTGCWRAAAGAKGKGTCACATRTTTCAGCCTGAATCAAAAGTCGATGAAATTTTTGCAATTTTRTGGTCAGGAGTCAGAGTGTATGATCTTGGGATGATATYTGASAATWATAAAAGAATCACACTTWTTRATTAGCCGAATTTGTTCGCAATTTTACGACTAGGAATCAAAGTTTTTTGACATCAAACTCACTGGGAAATCCCCTATACGYTTGRMGATTGGTAAAACTAAACGTCTTCATTTTTCATAGATTTTCTGACAGTTAGAAAAACTACACCCTTCGTTCGATGTTGGACGCAGCTGGATACTCAAATCGAGTACCAAACTTCTCCGCCTTCCTGTGAGGTTGTTTTAAACACACTACTCTTGAACACTGACTCAATTAGAACGAGTTTGTCAACACAGTGATATTGAGTAATAACGTTGTAAATTGTCTGGGTAATATTGTATGCCCCGGATGCATAACCTAACGCCTTTCCACTACATTTTCTTCTCATCATGGCTAATAACCTTCCGCATATWCGTCTATTTCCGATGAGTTCYTCAATATTTTCTTGGTTAAACGCCTACAGTAAAAAGTAATGGCCGGCCACCTTAATTTCTTGACAAATGTAATTAATCCGAAATTTGCGTACCTCCGGAAAAAAAATTTTTTATAAAACCTTTCTGATTCATTTGTTATCTTTATTGCTTCCTATATTTACTTCTCATAAAGTATATTTGCTTCTTCTGTACTTTTCCTCAATATTTATAAATTGTGGCTTGCCTAGGGAGTTAAAACTAAATTTTCTTTCAAATAGCCAACACATTTTTCATGTATACGTCCGAACCATTATGCTATAAAGTGTTTATTCAAAAATCTACGAGTAGATCAGTGCTTGTAATATTTTCAAAATATTGCATACTCTATTAGCCACTTCTCGAGATTACATAACAGTGAGTTCCGAGTATTTTCCAATCCGTCTTTGTACTAACAAAAAGATCACAACTACTTCAATTACTTGTAAATTTGTTTTACACCTCACACCCGGACCACATGGTACTTGTTCATCGCTTTGAAAAAAACTTTCACTGAATTAAATAAAACTTAAATTTCTCATCAACACTTAATTAGTAAAGATAATTTATCATCATAATCCTCTGTTATCAAACGAAGGACTCGCGTCCAAAATCTTAAGGTTTTTCCTAGCTTTTTACGATTTATAAGTGACCCGCGTGTTAAACGCCGATCGCCGACGCTGCTCCGATGTCATACCGAAGTAGCTCCGATGTAACAACGACACAGCTTGCACTAGTTTACAGCTAGTTTTCTCTCATAATATACTTTGAGTGAATTTCTAGGCAAAGACATGTGTGGAAGAGAGGATTTTTCAGAATATCTAAGTGAAATACCAAGGAAATAGACCCAAAGATGCCAATATGCTTCAAAATGGACTCCAGAAGTCCAATATCTATAATGCGATTATTTAAATACAAGAAAACGCTTCGCAGGCTTTGTATAAGAGTATTAAGAAGACCTCACGGGTATTCTGTTTTTATACTATAAATTGTTTCTTATATCTAACGATAACAATAAGTACGGTTCACCTTTCAAGAATATTATACCTAGCCTAGTCCTGGCCTCTCCTCAACAATTCGCGGAATCCGGCGGTAAAAATGGGGTGTTCTCTTTTCCCCACGATTCAAAAAACGGGAAAGATTACCCAATAATTCAGAACGAAGAAACACGCATAAACTATATATAAGTAAACTAACATTCTAATATTTCAAAAAGATGTATTTAATTCTATTATTAATGAAATTGGAAGGAACGTTTCAAAAGTAAAAATCAAAACAAAGAATAAAAAACTTTTAACATGTTTTCAAATATATAATCGGACACTGGAAATGGAATGGAATGGAAATTCCCCTGCATTTTTTCTTTTCTTTCCTTTTTTTCAAAAGGTAATACAAAAATATACATTCTTATAATATCGACTAAATAATCACAGAAAAGATGAGAGTTGGATTGAGATCGATTGTACTACAGTACACCGAAATTGAAAGAAGATTTACTTTCTCGGGTGACTGGCTTCCTCATACAATATCGAAAATACAATAATGAAATCTGGATTGCTTAAGATAACAATCTATGAACACAATTAGAAGCCTAATTTTGAGTAAATCACTGACAGTCAGTATAAACGAAGTTCATTTGGTGTTAAGATGGGACGTGTCATTATGAGAGTTATAAAGCAATATCGAAGCTTTATTATCTAAATATGGAATATTAGCCATATTATTGTTTTGAGAAACACACGAATGTACAAGAAATTGAACGAAAAGTCGGTATTTAAAGTAAACAGCTGAGCAAAGAGAATAGTTGGTCTTTAAAGTAACTAAAACTTGCGCAAAATATTAGGACCCATTATGGGCCGACAACGGGAAACTATAGGAACTATAGCGGCCTATGCCTAGGGAAGTATAGGAAACTGTATTGCCCTGACGGTATATGAAAGGAAAYGATGCTGAGAAGCAGATATAGTAATGCACATTAACGATGAACAGTGGTAAATAGTTTACAACCATTCATTATAAACAGGAAATTTTTATTGTAAAAAATCAATTTTACTCCCACAGGAAAATTTGTTTGTATGACGTGCGGGTCACTTGCATCTACACAGTTTACCGAAAATTATGTTAACAAAAAATTTGTACAATTTAGACCACCTAATTCAGTGATTTCTTGTACTACAACAATGGAGAAAGTCTTGGTTTGAACTTGTCAAAACTACAATTTTATTTCATTTTCTTCACAATAAATTGATATTTGTCAAAAACCATTACCAGGAAATCGAATTACTAAATCGCACGTGGTAGCGTTAGTATAATACAGTATATAGTACCTCTTTGTTATAACTCACTGTTATTAAGAGGCAGTTAATGTCAGACACTAGTGGTTTACTTATAGGCGTGGCGCCAACACTTCAAAGCTATTATTAAGGATTGAGTGGGGCAAATATATTAAAGTGTTGGATGGTCACTTAATATTTTTTTCAGGGTTAAATCAGGAATTCTGGACTGCTGGACCACGGATTTTATTTCGTTGATAAATAAGACATGACTATAATTACTGACTAAGTTTGATTAAATAATAATTAAATATTCGTAATTTTTCATTATGAAGGAAAATCCAAAGTGCTGGCTTTTCTTTGACAAAGAAAAAGCGTCCATTTTACTCTATCTTGTCAAGGAAAACTCTTGTCCATAATAAGGAAAAAAATATTCGCGTAAATGCGCCCTTCAATACGCTCAAAGTTTTAAAAGTACCCGTCGATAGGCTTTGCTTCTAAGTGAAAACTACTGACAAAAAATTAAAGCAACTTTCATATTTCATTTGATACTTTCTTTTGAATATATATCACAATTATCCATAGTTTTAAGAATAAACTTCACAAACTCGTGCTAGTGTTTGATCAAAGTTTCAGACAGTCCAAAACAATTTTAATTGTTTTTAAAAAGACTAGCCCTGATGAAACACGTGATTGTTGAGAAGTAAGTTAAAACTCTTATTTGTCTTTCATCAAAGTTTCAGAGACACTCCAAAACGATTAGAGACCTCGACTTAACGACTTGACGTTTGAAAATCCCTAACAAGGAATTCATTCAGTCGCATTCGTTTTTGAATATCATAGACAATATACATATTTGAACGAAAAATGTGATGAACTGTTACATTTTTCTCATTTCCAAGGCAATTTATCATATAATCGTACGATCATATATGTATAATATTCTTATCATCTTACATATGAACGTGCAACCATACTGTATACAAGCTATACTTTATAATCTTTCAGTAAAGTTTATCGTCTGTCGTAAAGACTGAGAATCTGCCCGCTGTTTCCCATGAATATGGGTTATTAAACAGCTTAGGGGATTGTACTCTAGCGAACAGACTCTATAGCGTCTAGATACTTCTTAATCAAAAAATCCCTCGCCACTTTGTGATACTTAAGATCTATTCATTCATACAGTATCCTTTCGTATGATATCAGTATACCTGGGTTTGTGTGGCGGTTAATCTAGCGGATTAATCGTTATGGGACTTTTTATATGAGCTGCAGCTTTACTATTCAAAAATTTTGAAAATGCTGATGGTCACTAAAAGGACGTTTAGTAAAAGAGTTTCTTGAGATAATATCGACTTGAATACTGTAATTTCATCTTTGGTAAACTTTTTTTCCTTTTGTACAAAATGTGTTAGTTAATTAAAGGGTTGGTTTCTTACACAAAGTTTAGTCATATAATTAGAGTTCAAGGAGTCACGTTTTAAAGAATTATAAAACTAGAATCCTGTCTATGTTCATAAGTTGGYGGTGTTTATTYTTCAGGTKCAGAGTTGATTGAAATATTTTATCAACCGTTGGGAAACTTTGCATTAATTTCTGTACTTTTTCTTTTTTCTACAAGAGGTATACTCATAGCCGAGTTCAAGATGTCACTCTATGTAGTAAAACAAAACTAGAATCTTAAAATTGTTAAAAACGTATTTCTCATGTTTCCGCATTTGGAAGAAAATTCTC